AAGCGACTTAATCGGAACCCGCGTCGCAGTGGCTGAAAAATGGCTTATGAAATGAACATATCGCAATATTCCATTCGGCAAATATTAAAAAATGAGCTCGGGGTAAAGCCATTGAAATTCCAAAAAGTGGAAGACCTTACACTGCAACAGACTCAAAAGAGCTAAAGAGTTCCTTCGCTTGGCCGAAAGTGGTGAGCTGCCGAATTTGGTTTTTTCCGATGAGAAGATATTCGTTGTCCAGCAGTTTGTAAACATACAAACAAATTGATCGTGTTTACTTGCCAAAGAGGTCAGCTGAAAATGTGCACCTTCGGTTGGCCACCAGAACTCAAGCGCCGGTCATGGTGATGGTGTGGGTCTCCATAACAGTCGACGGGTGCTCTCCACTCGTATTAAACGACCGTGGCATCAGAATAAATGCCGAATATTATGGTGAAAATATTCTGGAGGGTGTATCGGGGTGAAAATCGGTTTAGACATAGCTTTACTCCCATATATATGTTTCATCCGATTTGGTTTTAAAGTCCCTCACATGCGTAATATGTACTCCACAACAATGATATTTGGTACCAGATATCTTATAGAGTTCGGAAATACCTCTGCCAAATTTTATGAAGATTGGATATAGCTCCCATATATATCTTCAACCGATTTCTGGTTAATTGTGCCCCAAATGTTTGATATAAGTCCAAATGAACTGCATTTTAGCACATCTGACCGAATTCAGTCAAGAAGCAAGTACATCAATTTTGGTGAAAATCGGTTCAGACATAGCTATAGCTCCCATATATATGTTTCATCCGATTTGGGCGTTTAAGTCCCTCATATTCGTAATATGCATTCGTCAACAATGATATTTGGTACAAGATATCTTATAGAGCTCAGATTTTTATATACCTTCGATATACATCTTCATCCGATTTTACAATTATTGTCCACCACATATTTAATATCAGCCCAAATTGGGTAGATTTTTCATATTGATCCGAATTTTTCCCTTTGGTGAAACTCAGTCCGGTATATCTATTGCTCCAAAAAATATTTTTAATATAATTCTTTGGTGGAAAAGCCTCCGTCCCAGCTCGGCTATTGACCCTACCTTTAAAAAAAAGTGTTTTATTGTTCGAAAAATCAGAGGAGCGAAATGGGTTAGGATTTCTCAATTTCTCCCACATTAAGGAGACTATCTTCAGTTGCTCGATTCTTGATTTGAAACCTTTCCTTTTTTTCCAGACATAAAAACCTTCCACTAGTCTTCCCCAGACAACTTCAATACGTAAGAGACCTACATATCTACAGGTAAAAAAACATTTCAGAAAATATATGGCAGACCCTCCGTGGGACTTCTATGCTTGTAAGGCCTTTCACAGGTATTCTCCATATCGAAAAATAATATAATTTCTAAGGGTGGGACCTTCGAAATAAAGGACCTTCGAAATAAATGACATTCGACAGGTGTAATGAAAGCAGACGACTTTCCGTTTTCCAAAGACAGGTCTCGAGCTTCGACAGCCATTCCATAGATAGGAAACTTTTGAAAGGTTTTAAGAATTGAAGACCTCATCTTCCTTATTATTTTTACTCTAATCTGCGGGCCTTGAATGACGAATTCGCTTGGTGGTCTTCAGGAAAATTATTAGAAATTTGTTTATTATTTTCTTCCCGCTGCAGCTTTATTCGGTACAACAAAACATGGAACTAGGTTTGTTTTTACTATGGAACACAAAAGAAGATGAAGAAAACTACATCATCATCACCATCATAGATACAGACACACATTGCTCTGGCAAATGTTACCAAATGTATGTACCAATGTTTATGTGTGTGTATGTGTGCGAAGATTTGAAACATATTTACAAATGTAGCCAAGATGTAATACAAAAATGATGAAATGAGAACATACTTCCAAAAGGAAAACGATAGAAGAAATTTTGATAAAGAAACAACATAAAGAAAATCTACAAAATTTACAGAGTTGCAAATAAGCTTTGAAGAGAGCTCCTCTCTCTCTCTCTCTCCCTTGCGTTGTTACATATCCAACAATGTTGAAGGGGGAATAACGGACTGAGAACAGATGTTGTGGCATGTTCTATGTAACTTGTCAAGGGGAGAGCAGAGCTGAGAACAGAGGAGAAATTTCTGGCTGTAATGAGAAGTAGAAACATCCACAGTGTGTTATCTGTATTTCTATATAAAACACTGAAGGGGTAAAAAAGCTTTGCTGTCTCTCTCTTCCCAGTAAACAATTTTTGCCGAATTCGGTCAGATTTCTGTCAGAATCTCTGAAAAAATGTCCGATTCTGATTCCGAATTCCTTCCGATTTCGGTACGAAAGTTGTATGGACGTGGTCACCGAATTCGGAAAGATTTTCTGAAAAAATATTAGATTTTCTGGACGAATTCGGTCCGAATTCGGTGAAAATTCTTGAAAAAATAGGAGAAAAAATTAGATTTTCGGAAAAGATTCGGAGGACAACTCCGAATTTCTGAAAGAAATCGGGCAGAATTCGTCTGGAAATTCGGCGGAATATTCAGATTTTCTAAAAGAAATCGGTCAGAATTCGAAAGAAAATTCGGAATAAAATTCAGATTTTCTAAAAAAAAAACGCTCAGAATTCGGGAGAAAGTTCCGATTTTCTGAAAGAAATCGTTCAGAATTCGGAAGAAATATCGAAAAAATTGTCACACCACTTAAAAATGAAAAAAAAACACATATTTATTTAAAAAACAAACAATTTATTTCGAGTTTCGTAAAAATGTAGTTTAAATATTACATCTATAATACATTTACATTATAAATATTATGTATGTAGTTGTTTTTGCAATTTTTTTCCATCATATTTTTTTGGGAACGAAAGAGAAAGAGGCTGATTCACAACAACAACAAAACGCACATTTTTACAACGGAAAATCTAACAGTTCACAATAACAATAACAAATAGCATTTTTGCTTTGCGCTTTGTTGTTGTTGAGATCTTGAAATGAATGATCACAACAACAACTACTATGGGAGAGAATGTGTCAAACCACCACCATCCGTTTACATGTGGAAGAGAATATGCGAGAACAATAGACAATCTACTCTCTCCGTTTGTACATTTTTCGAGTTTTTTTTTTCGCTTAAAAACACAGGAAAATGTGCAGAAATTCTAAAAAAAAACGTTTAGAAAATCGGACCAATTTCTATCAGAAATTTCTGAAAAAAACGTCAGAAATTTCGGAAAAAAATCTAAAATCAGAGCAGTCGGAAAAAATTGTTTACTGGGTTCCCAGTCTCTCTGAATAGTTTTGTATCTGTGTGGTGGTTGTGTGTGTGTGTGCCTGTCTTCGTGGATTCCCAATAGAGCAGCCAACACAAAAAAGAACTTAAAATATGGGTTAGTTATATACAACATTGTTGTTGCTGGGGTATTTCGTTTTTTTTCTTTCCTTTTCGATTTGAAAATATGTGGCGTATACACTACACACACACACACACACTCACTCGAATAACTGCAAACACACAGATACAACACACAACCGCACCAACCCAACTGACACACTTACGGATTTCTGCTTGCTGGCAGGCTGGCTGGCTGTTTAGCTTGTTTGCCGTTTCTATATCGCGCGCTCTGTACTGTGTGTTATGTGTGCTGGCATTTTGGAAAGAAACTAAAGAAACACAGAAATGAAGGAAAACAGAACTTGAACGAATCACAAAAAAAAAAAAAAAAACGAGACGAGGCGAGAAAAAAACCTGGCAGCAAAGCAACAGCAAGCAGTTAGTTCAGTTTTACACGCGTTTTTCTATTCTACAAATCATTCGTTTAACATTCGTGGTCGCGTACGGTTCATTTTGGGAATTACAACGCTTGGCCAAAAAGTTTTGAAGAAGGCCAATTGAAAAAATTCACACCAAAAAAAAAAACTACAAACTTAAAGATACAAAATTTTCCAAATCAAAATACACTGAACAAAAAATGAGAGATTTTTTTCCGAAAAAAAATTTAAGTGAATGGCAAATTTTGAAAAAAAAAATAACACTGAAGACAAGAATTAAAATAATTCTGGATAAAAGAAAGTTCTAGAAAAATATTTGAAAAAAAAAAACAAATGTGAGGAGATTATGAGATTCTGACCAAGTTGTGTTGCCATGCAAATATTCGCTTCCGTACAATCAATAAAATAACAACAAAAACATACGTAACGCACGCACTTGACTAAGAAAACCAAAAAGAAAGTATCGAAAATATTCGAAACGCTATTTGGATGCGTCCTCAAATTAATTGCTTTCCAAAGGAACCTCAAAAATCATTGCATCTCAAATGTGGTAGTACACAGTACCTCTAAAAGTGAAGATGTTGTTGGTGGTGGTAAATACCTAACATTGAAAATATGTATCTGGAATTTTGTAAGGGTCACCCGAGTTCTGGGGGCTGGATTCTTGTTCTATGATCAAAATATGAAATGAAAAATATTCTTGGACTTATTTTTTTTTGGACAATTTTTAGTTTGAAATATTTTGCTTAAGTGTATTTTAGTCAGTACACAGGTCTATAAAAGCTCTAAAATTTTTTTCTATAAAAATTACCAAATTTTTCTATAAAAAATACAAACTTTTTCTCTAAAAATTACAATTTTTTTATATAAATTTACAATTTTTTTATAATTTTTTTTCTACAAAAATTACAATTTTTTTTATATAAATTTACATTTTTTTATAATTTTTTTTTTTTACAAAAATTACCACATATTTTCTACAAAAATTTCTTTAAAAAGTACCTTTTTTCAATTTTGAAAATCCTGTATACTTGTGTTATAATTCACATTTAGTTCAGTTCGTTATTGGCAAGCGTTTTCTTTTTTTTTTTCTTTTCCTTCATCCACTCACTTCACTACCTTTTCTAAATGACGATGCGTCATTTTTCCAACTAAATTATTCTTTGGGTTCTATCGTTCAGTTCTTGACACTTTGCCAAGTGGTGAAAAAATAACGACTCGGAGATAGATTGTGAGAGAGAGAGCGCGAGAACAAAAATCAACACATAAAAGTTCTTGTTGATACATTTAGGAGAACAGTGTTGCCACACAACTACGAATCTGTTCAAGAAAAGGATTGTTACAGGAATATTGATTTTTAAACGGTGGTACAGTTGAATTCTGGAGAGCTTTTTTTTTGAAATTTATAATATTTACAAAAAAATGGGAAGAAGTATGTTAAAGTCAGAATATCGGATTTATTATTTATTTCAAAATCACGGAATGAAAAAATATAAAATATTAATGCTTCGAAAGGTCAATTTTCAAAAAAAAATAAAATATCCCGACTTATAAGTAAATTTTTTTTTTTTTAACTTTCAGAAGTCACGCGACACTTTCGAAGCAATGAAATCCTAACTATAATTATACAAAATGTCACTGGCCATCTTGTTCATCATCAGTTATTTGGTGGCCTTAAATTTTTTTTGCACGGCCCAATGACAAACAGATTTAAGAACCATGCAGATATTGGGAATTTTGCTAAATTTTAGAGTTGAATGGTCAATATTTTTCGAAACATGTAAAAATGTCAAAATATCAAGAATATTTAAAACAAATAGTGATATATTTTCATTATTCTCATAAATTCTATGTCCTTTAATTCTTCCACGGAATTTTCATAGGGAAAAGCAAACTTAAAAATCAGGCTGCGGTTCCAACATATAAAAAAAAATCTAATGAAATTTGAAAAATACCGATGAAATCCTCAACGAAAACCACCTTTATACCAATAGAACATTTCATCGGAACAAAATAGTTTCAGAAAAAAGTTCCTATCATGGCACAATAAAACCAAGGCAAACTCATTCCAAATAAGCATTCCCAGCGCAGCATTTTCTGTAATTTACGATGTAAAATTTCACTGAATAAAAAACTGTTTCCCATCTCTGATTCATGTGCATTCAATGGATCTAAAAATATATATTTTGATGATGAAATGTTGTAAAATGAATAATTTTGAAAAAAAAAAGTAAAAATATGATTGCATGACTTTACCTTCTTAATTGTACCATGCGTGGTACGTGGTATGGAGAAAATAAGCATACTTTTATTCCAATGCCTTTTCAAATATAATATTTTAAGAGAGTTGTCTTAATGTTTTTTATTACAATAAAAAATCTTTTCGTTAGAAATAAAGCTCGTCTCAAAAGAGAAATGCATTAAAAATACCATCATCGGTCTAACAGTAATTACTTAAAAATTGTTCATTATTAGGGGTTGCCTGGTATTTGAACTCCTCGGACGCCAACTTAGGTTTCGAAATCACCAACACCACATCCAATATGTAGTTGTGTGTAGAAAAAATAGTTGACAGACCATGAAACACTTCATAAAATGAGTCGGCGGGAGCATGAACATTGTTATTGGCTTCCACATTCCATAGTCCGAACCATCATAAACATTTGATGTAGATATTTGATCAGCAAGCGAAACTTGAAACAAAAGATAAATGTTCTTTATTCAATTATTAGAAATATTAAAAAAATAGTATTTCAGGACTGTCTTCTCTTCAAGGGTTTTCCTAGTAGCTCCTCAATCTCGGTCCATGTATAATTTAATTTTAATGATTTTATAAAATAAAAGATATTTGAACGTCCTGACAAATAAAATCAAAATAGTTTTAAATAACAAAACAAAAAAAGAAGCAAGTTTTATCTTCGAGAATGATTATTTAAATTTCTACTCTCTATTTTTAAAATAATATTTAGATGAAATTAAATATTTATTTTGTCGCATGGGTTTGAAAATAACTTGGTTCGTTTACTCCAATTATAGAACTGCAGCATTTTGTGGCCAACCCTTGCATGAATTTCTTATTTCTTAACGTACTTGATTTTTTCAGTTATCCAATTGTCATTTAAAATAATATTTATTCGGTGATTACCATAGCTATCAAGCAAATGCAATTCTTTTGCACAAGATTAAATAATTTCCTTTTCACTCAAACAGAGAATACGTCCTGGCATTTTAAATCTTCGTTCAGGACTTTCACGAGGAATGCACTGCATTAACAAGACTTCAATTCTTTATAAAACATATTTTGAAACCACTAGAAATTTTCCAATGTAATTTTAAGATTTGAAAAACATTATTTTCCTACTTAGCAATCCGGGATTTAAAATATTAAAATCAATACTCACTTGCAAGTATTTTATTTAAATATAAGAGTAATATAAACAAAAGGGGCTTTCAGCGTTAGCAACAAAGTCCCTCAGTTAATTTACTAATTATTAGCCATTCAGCAATGAAGCATTTTCAGCACATTTATTATTATATGTCTTAAAAATGAGAAAATACTTCAATACTTCTAATTTTGATTCGTATTTCGAACGAGCCTTTTCAAAGTATCTAAATAAGAAGGGACAATTCTATGTGTTTCGAATTTTTGTTAGAGAATAAAAGATTAAACCTTTAAAAAATTGACAGAAATTGTGCTTTTGGTATTTATTTTTGTTGCTTTGTTTTTAATATTCTTCTGTTAATTTTATTTAGATTTTTGCTATATTTTACTTTTCTTTCTCTTCATTTAAAAGTTAGCAATTCCCTTAGCATGAACCATTTCTCACTTATATGGCAACTCTATTTGTGTGACACATATTTTTTCCACCATTCTTTTCCTCCCTCCAAACCTTCTCTTTCCGTTAGTTCTCTCATTTGAATTAGAATAAAGCAATTGTTGTTGCTTTCCCCCCAACAATAAATTGAAATCACATGTAAGCTTTTTGTGAACACAAGAGCGCGCGAGAGAGAGAGAGGGGGGACAGTAAGAGAATGAGATAGAACGAGTGAATGTGTGTGTGGTGGGGAATTTTGCTGAGTTAAGCACATTTTTTCCATCTATTCTATACTGCTGTTCTTGGGTTGTTATACACATTGTCACTACCACACCTCTCTTCCGTGCCCCTTTTTTTTCCACAAACGTCTTTTTATGGAACTTTTTTTCCCCGACTTGCCTTTGTTGCTTGCTTTGCACCACACATCAACGTCAGGGTTGTGTGTACTGCTGCTGCTGTTCTCGGTTCGTTGTTACGCAATCACATCATCAGCATATTTTTTCTGTGCTTTTTCGTTTTCCTGGTGTAGATATTTCCTGGTATAGAAAGAAAGAACAACACCAAATGTTGTCCCATTAAGTGCCTAAGATTGTGTTCTTGCGCGGGGAGGTTTTTAATAGAAATACTAAGAAAAAAATATCAATATTTTATTCAATTGTTAAGAGATTGTTTTTTTTTTCTATTTTTTTAATTGTGAAACGCAGAATGATTTGGTGAAATAGCATTTTCTGCTTTGTACTTTGTACTGTTTGTTAGAACGAAAAGCAATGTGGAATAGATTAGAAAAATTGATTTGTTGTTGTGTGCTGTGCTGTGTGTGTGAGAGAGCAAGTTTGTACAAATTAAAATAGTTAGAGGGAGCACAGTGGGTTGTAGTGAAAATAAGAGTTAGTTTTGTAAGAAAAATAGGGAACATATTTTAAAGTTGTAAAAAATCCTTCTACAGAAAAAAAAAAAAACTTGAATAAAAGAAATAAACACATAAAAGGGAATTTTTTATTTGCAAAAAATACAAATTTCGATACAAATATGCAGCTTTTCTTAAAAAAAAAAATAAGAAAAAAAGGAAAGGTGGGATATTTTGAGCGAAACTTGGAGTTAACAACAAGATACCAAAAATATTTTTGTTCAATGAATATTTAGTGGGCAAATATAGTTATTCTTAAATAAGAAGAGCTTAAAAAAAAATCAAATAAAAAATTATAAAATAAAAAAAATGCAAAAAATGAGAAAAAAATTAAACATTTTTAAATGAATGAAAAGCAAAAAAAAAATTTAAAATACCCAAAATTTTTAAAAAAGAAGAAATATAGAAATTTTTTTATGAAATCAGCAGAATTGGGAATTTGGGAATTTTGTTATTATTAATCCATTCCTTCCTTTTTTATACAATCTTATCCATAACTATCGGCATTTTTTGAAAATGTCAGATTTCGAAAATAAGGGTTTGAATTTTAAAGAAAAATCATTCTCTAGTCGTAGAAAATTATTTCTATTTTTGGAACGTTAGAAAAAATTTCTCGAGGTCTATAAAAAAATTTCGACGAAAATTTGGTTTGAGTTTAGAGAAATGGTTTTCAAATCTACCTTTCAACAAAAAAGGCAAAATTTCAATTTCTTACATTTCTGTCACCTTTTAAAGACAATTAATAATGACAATAAATGGGTTAAAAATTAACATTTTTCAGATGTCAGTGTTTTGGATTTTTTCCCGTTTTCAATATTCAAAAAAAAAAAAAGTGCGGAATCTCATTGTTTTTGCGAAAATTTCTAGTTTAGCGAGCTATCCCTAATATGATATACTATTTTAAACATTTTGAAATATTTCAACTGGTTCTCCAATTAACAAAAATTAAATATGAAAGTCTTCGAAATTGTGCAGAATAATTCCTTTAACTTAGGAATTTTGGGAATGTATGGGAAAATGTCGGACCTATTTTTGCAACCAACTGAATGCGAAAGAAAAAAAAAAATTATCTAAATATTTTAATTAATTTAAAAAAATTAAATATCAACAAAACTCAATGTTTTTTTTTTCGTTCGCTTCCTTTTTTTGCATGATAAAATTAAAATAAACTTGAATTAAATAAGGTAAAGTCATTTCAAAAACTACTATCCATTTCTGCATTTTCTGTAATTTACCTTGTCAAATTTATCTCAATAAAAAACAAATTCCCATCTCTGATTTGTGCGTATATAATGGATTTATAAATATAAAATTTGACAATGAGATTTTGCCAAAATTTTGCATTTTGAAAAAATTGTAAGCATTTGATTTCATGACTTTACATTCTTAGTTCTACCATGCTTTTTTAATGTCAAAAAATTTTCCAAATTCATAGAATTTAATTTTGATTTCTTGTGAAACCCAGCTAATTGAAAAAAAAAACAAAATTACAACTACTCTTATTTGAATCAATGAATGTTTTACTTTTAAAATTATTGTTTTTTTTTTTCAATATTCTCTTCTTTATTTACTTTTTGTTTAAAAAATTCTCTCCGTTAGTTTTGTTTAATTCTAACCCACTGTGCACAATTCTATCTAATCAGACGACGGCAAAATAAATCCAAATTTTTTCCCTCCAAAAATATTCATTCTAACCAGCGGTGCTCAAAACCGTGTTCTAGAACATGAAGAGAAAAAAGAGATAATTTAAGAGATAATTAAAATTCTGTTTTTCTTTATATTTTACGGTTCTATTTAATTGTTTTTAAACACGAATGTTTGCCAAAATAATTTATAAAGCAAATGGATAACAAATATTTGTATAAATAATGACTTAACACCGTTTTGTTCTTGATTTAAATAAGCAAAGAGAAATTTGACTGAAAAGAGATATTTCTTCTTGAGCACCGCTGATTCTAACCAAAAAAACACAACAGAGTGTACACATATGCTACATAGATACTTTTTTTCGACACATACACACCGATCTAATCACAAAATATATACAAACAGTTTTTACTTAACACTTTATGTGTGCTTTCGTGTTTTGTTGTTGATATGATGACTTCATAGTCAGCCAGCCAGCCAGCTAATTCAACAGCACTTTCAAATTGTCTTACGACACACATTTTACCTCAACTACAGGTCTCCATTCCTCTCTCTCTTTCCCCATCCATCTCTTTCTCACTTTTCTATACGTATATTTTTTTTCTTTAAATTTTTATAGAAATAACAAAACTACAAATAATCATTATTTCTACAGAATTGTGTTGTCTACAGCTTAACTAAACTTCAAATAATAAAAAAGAGCTTTTTGTCTAGTATTTTTTGTGTATTGGTGAAGCTTTTCTGGCTGGCAAGGCTTCGTTATTATCAAAACTTCCAATA